CTCGGCACCCACCACACACACTCCCCCCCCCTCCACCACACACACTCCTATCTCTTGCTTTGCCTCTGGCTCGGGTGGGAACTTCCCAGTCCCTTAGGCTCTGGTCTGGCACGACTTCGGGGGAAAATTGTAAAAGGGCTGGGGTGGGGGCGATCTGGAGCTTTGATGGGTTTGTTTTCCGTCCCCGAATTTAGTTAGCACTCTGACCTTTTCTGCTCTGGGTCTGGGAGACACCCGTGGATTTCTAAGGAGCCTTGCTAGGTGTTGGGGAGGGTGGCGCCAGGCGTGGCTGATCTGGGGGTGGGAGGGTTGGGGGAGTGAGGCCCTCCTTGCCTGAAGGGGCTGGAGGCGGTGCGGAGAAAGGGAGAAAGTCTCTCCCGGGCTCCATTGGGAAGGAGGCCTGGGGTGCCACTCTTTACCGGGCACCTGCTTGGTGTCAAGGGGTCACCAGGCCCTTATTCTGTGGTTGTCTTGGTGGATATCGAGAGTGGAAGCCAGGGAAGAGAGAGGAGAAAGGGACTGGTGCAGTTTAATGTGTATATGATACGAATGCATGACAGCTCCCCAACACCCTCCAAGTTCCGTGCACCAGGGAAGAAGGGTGTGGAGTTATGGCTAGAGGCCCAGAATTCACCCCTAAACAGGACCAAACCCAATAGAGGGAAGCCTGGGAACTTCGATGGCATTTCACTTCCCTTCAGGAGGAAGGGAAGGAAAAGAACTGAGACTGCTCCTAAGACTTGTCTGCAGAAAATGGCAGCTGTGTGTTTGGTAGCACAACCATCAACAACCATATCCTGGCTTTGAGGTAGTAGAGGCCCTGGGAATTGGCCCAGGCAGGAGCTGTGAAAGTAAGTGGTGATGGGTTTTTATGGAGGACTACTTCCTGGAAATGGGGTGTTGAACTTACCAGTAGTGGCAGCTGATATCAATTACACTAAAGCTGAGTGGTGGGTACAGTTAGAATTCTGAATTAGGGGCTTCTGAGAGTGGGGGATGGGGGTGTTCATGCATTCTCCTTCCCACTCACTTGGTAGGTCTTCCAAAGGAATCTATATTGGTTTTGGTTTGTTCTCAATATAAAAGAACATGGAGAGATTTGGAATTCAGGACTCAAGTGGCAGGATTTGATACAGTGCATTCTGTTTTAGGATTGTTGGATCTGAGCCCCAGATACAGCATTTAACTTTTCAATGACTTAGTTAATCCATCTGTAAAACCAGAATAATATCACTTCTAGGGTCCTGAGGATGAAATCAGACGTGTCAAGTACACAGAAAATTGAAGAGGCTATACAGATATAGGATTGTTGATATCATGTTTCATGAGAAATTGGAGGAGAATGTGAATGATTTGTACAATAATATATGAAAATAAGTGCCCATAGTCCAGTTTCCAGCTATTACAAATACAGTGCATTGGCATATTGCTTTTTCATGTCTCTTAAGTTTACACACCTACAACAGTTTTATGTTACAGAGTAGAGGTATAAGATCATACTGCTCCTTAGATTCATATTGTAAATATTTCCCCTAATCTAATAGAAATCCTCCTGACACTCATTAATAGCTGCTGAATAATGCATCCTGTGGATATGATTTAGTGAACCATTCTTCTCTCTCATTTTAGTTGTTTTCTATATTCTTCTCTTTGCTTGTTGTAAGAGTCCTCATTACCAGATGACAGATAAGAGAGATCTTGGCTGACTTCTAGGAGGTGGGGAGTACTGGCAATTACGGGACTGAGGAGGAAAGACTAGGGCTCTATCCCCTGGGGCTGAGGTGGGTTGCTCATGTGTAATGTCACTCTGGAGAACACTGAGAACTCTAGATTTTAATCACTGACTCTGAGTGGCTGCTCCGCCTTCCCCATCAGTACGTTCAGTTCCTTGTAGTGGCCTGGTTGTCATTGTGAATAAGTCCACCATCGGTCAAGAGGTGGCTTCCATGTGACATGTATACAGCCCTTAAGCCAGTACTGCAATAGAAATTCTTCAAACTTTACTAAGTTGATTGGCTTCTAGTTCTCCATTATCTTTTTCCTTTGGTGGTTCCCCCTCCCTCTCCCCCTCTCTCTAGCCCTCCCCCCTTTTCAGGACTCATACTAGGGAAGAGAAAGTAGAACTTGCTCCAGGGAGAATATGCATTCTTTTTAATAAGGTGTATATATATTCTGTGGTTTGATGGCTTCACATGCTGTCCTACAAACCATCCCAAATCAAGGCCAAGAACCTGGACACTTGGACAGGGCATGCAAAGTCACCTGTTCTCTGAGCTGAGCTGTGCTCCCAGGGGGAAGGTTTCTGTTGCCGGGACTCAGTAATTGGGTCAGAAGGCTCAGGTGTGAGCAGGACCTACCTTGTTCTTAAAGTGCCAGAGACTAAATTGGATTTCAGTCCTTTGTATTTGCTGGGAATGTGATTTGGGAAAGAAGAAATGTTGGGGAGTCACTCGTTAACTAAGGCTCTCAGAGTCTTTGGGCATCTTGGGCTAACTTAACTAGTTTTTGTTTCAGAACTGGATAGGAAGGTAACTTATTCTCAGGCCACTATAGACTTCCTGTTCTAATGTAAATTTTCTCCATAAGGGATATCTGTCTTTTCTCTTTCTTTCTTTCTTTCAAGGGATATCTAATGAAAACTAATGAAAACACTGAACTTTGTTGTTTATTAACTATCACAGTGCTTGGCACACTAACTGGAGAAAAATGTATTTGTTGAATGACTTATTTTTCCAGGCATCCACTTCTCATGCTAAAGAAAAAGAAAATACCCAAAATCTAAATACATTATCCTAGGCAAATCATTTCTAGTGAGAGAGCTTTTTTTTTATTTTTTTCCTTTAGGCAACTGATATGTTGTTTTCTACTGAGTGCCAGCTGCTGTTGAATGTTATCTGCTATGCCCATGTATTTTTATGAGAATCAATTGCAGACTTTACCCGGGCTGGCGCCTGTAACCAATTAGTTCATGCCAGTCTCTGGGGAAATAAACAAAAGTAAGAGAGGAGGCTGGCCGTGCTGGGCACAGCTTGTCTTATGACTGCTTTTAGTTTGCTAAGGTAGGGAACTGTGAGATTTGATTATTGTAGGGCTTCTTAATTTTATCAGACTCAGTTGCAAAGGAGGTATTGGCAAAGCCTTAGGTCTTTACAGTTCTCCAAACCTTCACTAGATAGATACTGGAGACTTTTTTTTTTGTTCCCTTGGTATAGAAAGGAAGAAGGAAAGAGAAAGAAAGGAAAGCTGATTCTGCTCTGCTCAGCTCTTCAGATTCTGGTGGACTGTCTGCCTGCTCGCCCATGTAAGTGAGGACTTTGGAACCAAGGCCTTGACGCTCACCTCCTTCTCTCCCTTAGGGTGGTGTCACTTCTTACTGAAACATTCCCACTCATTTTCAGCTGGCTTGTTTAAAAAGAGCTTAGCCTTTTGCCCATCTCCTTCCTGTTGCCATAACTTTCTCTTCCCTCTTCTGAGGTGAGATTGAAAAGAGCAATTACTTCTCTCTTCCAAAGCCCTTGAGGAAGGACTGTTCTGTGGCGATGACATCACCTTTTTCTTTTTTTTTCTGCTTCAGGATTTTAAATAGAAGAAATGTGATCTGCTTGCCTGATAAGTCTGATTTGGCTAGAGCATGAAGTATATAAATGGCTTTGGAATAAGAATCAAAAGAACCTTTTAACCTCTTTCCTTTCCCACCTGGCACAGTTTATTCCCATATTTAGTTTCTTTGCTGTAATCTAGTGAAACTGTAGCTCTAGCATAAGGGAATGAGAGCTGGGAAAAGTTCCCAGTGGCTGGCCTAATTCTCCTATCCTTTCCCCCCTCCCCTCCCCCCCCCCCCCCATCCTCCAGACCATGGCCCTTCATCCTCGAAGAGTCCGGCTAAAGCCCTGGCTGGTGGCCCAGGTGGATAGTGGCCTCTACCCTGGGCTCATCTGGCTACACAGAGACTCTAAACGCTTTCAGATTCCCTGGAAACATGCTACACGGCACAGCCCCCAACAAGAGGAAGAAAACACCATTTTTAAGGTAAAGGACTTTCTTCTTTCTCCAAGTTCTCTCAGACCTTTCGGGATTTGTTTGCTTTCTTGCTTTGCTGTTTTTGTACTGGTCTTGGGGCTTGAACTCAGGGCCTGGGGTGCTGTCCCTAAACGTTTTTGCTCAAAGCTAATATTCTATGGCATGAACCACAGCTCTACTTCTAGCTTTGTACTCATTATTTTTTTGCGATAAGTCTCATGGACTTTCCTGCCTGTGTTGGCTTCAAACTGTGATCCTCAGATCTCAGCCTCCTGAGTAGCTAGGATTACAGGCGTGAGCTACCAGCACCCAGTGCCTGGCTGCTTTTTTCTTTTTCTTTTCTTTTTTTTTCTTTTTTTTCACGGGGAGTACTCTAAACCCATACACACACACACACACACACACACACACACACACACACACACACACACACACACGATGGTACTAAAACGTAACATAACAGTAATTTCTCTTTGGAATGGATAGATAGATAGATAGATTTTTTTTTTTTTTGGGTCCGGTTGTGGGCCTGAACTCTGGGCCTGGGTGCTGTCTTCCCTCAGCTCTTCAGCTCAAGGCTTGCGCTGTACCACTTGAGCCACAGCGCCACTTCCGGCTTTTTTTTTCTTCTGCTTATGTGGTGCTGAGGAATCAAACCCAGAGCCTCATGTATGCAAGGCAAGCGCTCTACCACTGAGCCACCTTCCCAGCCCAGATATATATATTCTTAACCCTTTATTCTTTCCCATTGGTTAATGATACTCAGTTGATGTCTCTCAGGACCCAAGATGAGTTTAAGTCATCTACAAGTGTTTATAGTGATGTGCTTGTCCAAAATTACCAAAGGTCAGTGGTTGACTTTTCATTCACTCAGGTCCTTGATACTAAGAGAAGTGCTTAAGCTTAGGGATGGCTGTCCAGACGATGGCAGAATTATTAGGTACTAGCATGTTCCTAGTAGAGGGTACAGAGGCCTTCAACAAGTTGTTCTTTTGACATTAAAATGTTTTCCCCATTTATATCCTCTGCTTCAAATTTAAATGTGATTTGGTTACAAATTTTTATTCGTTAATGTTTTTTTCTCTTCCCCCTTCCCTTCATTCAATGTTAGAGATTGAATCCAGGACTTTACTCTTGCCACATAGCTACATACTCAGCCTTAATTACGTTTTCTTTTAATAAAAAAAGTAGCTCAGATATGAGAATCATTTTACTGAAGCAAAGATGTGATCACATAGCATCTTGCAAAATTTATATGAAACCAAAGTTTGACTTCAGAAGTAGGTGGATGGGCAGTGGTTGTAGGAAAAGGCTTAGAGTAATTCCATGAACCACATTTTTTCATGACACACCAACTACTCCTTGCTGGCTCCTTCTCATCCCAGAGGGAGCTTAGTTACTGCAGTCCAAGAAACAGAGAAGTTAGCTAGAATGCAAAAATGTAAGTTTGTCCTGACTGGGTCTGTCAAGTTGGATCCTCCAGGTTTGGGCTGAGATTGGATTAGTATAGGGCTGAAAAGAGGGTTTCAGAGCTCAGGGGGAAAGCCATCCTCACAGTGTTCCCTGAAGGATTCTATTATGTCCAGTGAAAAGAGAAGAGGTCTGATGTGATAGGATGTCAATGAGCATTCTTTGTGTGTGTGTGTGTGTGTGTGTGTGTGTGTTGGTTGTGGGGCTTGAACTCTGAGCCTAGGTGCTGTCCCTCAGCTCTTCAGCTCAAGGCTAGCACTCTACCACTGGAGTCACAGTGCCACTTCAGTTTTCTGAGTGGCTTATTGGAGATAGGACTCTCACAGATTTTCTGCCTGGGCTGGCTTTGAACCACGATCCTTAGATGTCAGCCTCCTGAGTAGCTAGGATTATGGGTGTGAGCCACCAGTGCCCGGCTTCAATGAACATTCTTAATTTAGGTATAAATAATATAAAAAATTTTAAGGACAACATCTGAAACCAGCACTAGTTATTGTGGTTGGCATTGTGAGGGGAATGGGTATGCTCTGGTCCAGCCTGCCTCGCTGTGGCCTGAAATTGATAGATTTCAATTGAGATTTGGTCTGAAACTTGGGTTTCCTGTTGAAGCTTTTGTTGTCCATGGGGAAAAAAAGACTGGATCCTGAAAGCCCTACACCTGAGGATGGCTTGTGTGCTTGGTTTGAGGAAAGCGTTGTATCAGTACATCTGCATGTACAATGCTGAAGGAGGAACAAGGAAGTCAGGAGAAGAGGAAGGATGCTTTTACAGATCCCAGACTCTAATGAACCTTTAGCAAGATACACAAGTGAGCCAATAGCATGGAATGGGTGCTGTGTCCATGATATCATTTGATTCCCTCCATAACCCTGTAAGGGAGATACTGCTTTCATCTATGGGCAGAAGCTGACTCTCAGTGGGGCTCAGTAACTTGCTCAAGTCATATAGCCAATAAACAGTGGACTCAAGGTTTGAACCCATGTTTCTTGTTTTCCCTACCCTACTTCCTGCCTTAACACTACTCCTTCTGACTGGGAGTTGGAATATCTGACTTGAACTCCTATGACCACCATCTGCTGTGTAGTCTTGAGCAAGGCATATAACTTCTCTGCGCTCCAGTGTCCCTTATAGAAAAATTGAAGATGAAATGAATCTTGCCTACCTCTTAGGATTTGAATGAGAATATAGTGAAATAAAGTATGGAAAGGGATTTGTAAAGTACCATAAAAATACAGGGATCATTTCCATTTTAGGAAGAGAAATAAGGACCTATGCAGTGATCACAGTCTCTCCCAAGCTAGAGTCAGGATGAGTTTGGACAAGTAATGTTTGTACTTCACAATGTTTGCTATATGATACCTTGTAGGCTCTCCTTTCTCCATTCTGAAGTTACATTTATAAAAGGCTTTGGTCCTCTACTGTACTAGCCTTGGGTCCCTATGGTCATTTGAATGGCCTTGGGGGGGATGCTGTGTGGTAGGCTAGAGCTGGGCTGTGGCTGCGTTAGTCTGGCTGTTCCCTATGGAGGGGCAGGCCCCTAGTGGGAACTGTGGAAATCCATACACTTCTGCCAAAATATGCACATTCCCAGTCAGGCTGAGTGGGGTCATAGTGAGCGTATACATAAGGACTGAACAAATCGAGGAGACAAGGGAGAAGCAGCAGCCAAGTACACCAGGTAACAGCAGATGTGCCTCCTAGACACTGGGGACCAGTGAAGTTGAAATCCCCTATTAGGGTTGAATGGAATGCAGCAGCAGTTAGGTCCTCTAGTATTTGCTAAGCCACCCAAGACAGCACAGCTTTGTTAAAAGCTCTTCTTTATTCCATACCAGAACCCATATCTGGCAAGACTATAAGGAGGAGGAAGAGGAAGAGGAGTTAAGAGTTGGGAGGGGGATGTTTAACTCTGGAAAGAATCTTCCTCATGACTCTGGGACTTTGCAGGTGATCCAGGGAGATCACATATCTAAAAGATGCTGCAGAAGAATTCAGTTTCAGCTTGAGAAAGAAGTCTGTGGTCAGAATCAAAGGCAGGGAGTAGTTGGCAGTATGCCCTGTTGGCTTGAAAGCGTTTAGTGTGTACTTCTTCCTGTCTTGAGTTCTCTTGTAATGACAGTTTTAGAGGAGGGCATACTCCCCAAGAAAGTTGAGGGACCAGAGTATGTTAGCTGTCTGGGAAATAGATGTCCTGTGAATGGAAACATAAATGCATGTTGGACATGGAAAGTGCGCTGAGTTTCTACTCCCTGCTGTGTTCCTGAGGAATGTAGTCTATACAACATGCAGCTTAGGTTTTCTTTTTCCTTACTATCTTATTCTTCTTCTCTGGGGATAGTACTGTGAGTTCCTATATTTGGAAACCAGAGAGGAGTCAAAGAGGTTTTAATCCATGCTACTAGTCACTTGTGCAGCTACAGCATGAAATTTCCCAGTGACATAGGAGACACAGGAATTCAAGGAAGAAGGAAAGGTTCAGGATGTAGGGTTGTTTTTGTTTGTGTTTTTAGAACTTAGGGCCTCAGCCCCCCCCCCCCCCTCAGTGTGCTTCCTGCCCTAAAGGCACTTGGTTTTTAGGCCCTGATCTCCATATCATCTTCCATCCCTTTGTCATATTTATTGTTTAAGAAACTGTGTTAAAAAGATAAAGGGAAAGGAGGTGCCAATGGCTCACGCCTATAATCCTGGCTACTCAAGAGGCTGAGATCTTAGGCTTTTGGTTCTCAAAGCCAGCTAGCCAGGACATGAAAGGCCCAGAGACTCTTACTGCCAATTATCTACCAAAAAAGCTGGAAGAGGAGCTGTGGTTCAAATGGTAGAGCACTAACTAGTCTTCAGCAAAAGAAGCTCAGGGACAACACCCAGGTCTCCTGAGTTCAAGCCCCCGTATGGGCACCTGTGTGTCACATATGTGAACACACACACATACATACATGTTGCCTCAAGCCCTACTTTCTAGAGTTGCCCTGAACATTTCAGCACATATTTTGCCCCATTTTCAACTCTTCATTGTTGTCTGAACAGGCTTTAGTACTAAGGTTTAAGATAAGACTCTTTCGAAAGACTGCATTTGCACAGAGCTTAATTTCCCTTTGGCCTTGCTTTGTCTGGTTCTAAGGGCAATATTGCCTGCTGCAAAGTCTATAAGTTAAGGTCAAGATTATGAGTTATATTTATAGGGGTGTGTGTACATATGTATGTATGTGTTTGTGAGAGTGGGTAACATACATTTTGCTGTAATTCTGGACAATAGTAAGCACTCACTTCCATTTCTGGTTTCTCAGGCCTGGGCTGTAGAGACAGGAAAATACCAGGAAGGGGTTGACGACCCTGACCCAGCAAAATGGAAGGCTCAGCTCCGCTGTGCTCTGAACAAGAGCAGGGAATTCAACTTGATGTATGATGGCACCAAGGAGGTGCCCATGAACCCGGTGAAGATATATCAAGTGTGTGATATCCCTCAGCCCCAGAGCTCGATCATTAACCCAGGTGAGGCCTAGATACCTGTGAGAAGTGGCATCATGCCAGATTCTTGTCTGGACTCTTCAAATGGATTAAAAGCAGTCTAGTTTTCAAAGTTTAAGATTGGTAAAAATAGGAAAGCCATTCCTTAAGAACTCAGAGGACAAGTGGTATAAACTCAGCAAGAGCTTCATGGAGAAGAATGACTATTACCAAGAATTCTTACAGATGGAGAAAGTAGAGCGAATCTAGAGTTCTACTGTAAAAATAACCTCTCTTGGAACTTGAGAAGCCAGCCAGGGAGGGAGAGGGGGGTGGAAGGAGAGGGTTGAAGCAGGCATTAGAACTCAGTGGAAGGTTTTGTGTTTTTTTTTTTTTTTTGGTCCAGTTGTGGGGCCTGAACTCTGGGCCTGGGCTCTGTCCCTCAGCTCTTCCGCTCAAGGCTAGCACTCTACCACTTGAGCCACAGCACCTCTTCTGGCTTTTTTCTTTTTGCTTATGTGGTGCTGAGGAATCGAACCCAGGGCCTCATGCATGTAAGGCAAGCACTCTACCACTGAGCCACCTTCCCAGCCCAGGTTTTGCATTTTAAACTTGGCTGTTCTAACTTAACTATTTGGTGGGACTTGATTCGAGTTACTGGGTTTCTTTTTTTGTCGGTTGTGGGCCTTGAACTCTGGGCTTGGGCGCTCTTCAGCTCAAAGTGAGCACTCTACCACTTGAGCCACAGTGCCACTTCTGGTTTTCTAGTAATAAAGAGTCTCATGGACTTTTCTGCCCGAGCTAGCTTTGAACTGTGATCATCAGATCTCAGCTTCCTGAGTAGCTAGGATTACAGGTGTGAGCCACCATCGCCCGGCTTCAAGTTGTTGGGTTTCTTGAACCTGAGTTTCTTCAACTCCATTCTATCTCGGGTTACTGTAAGAATCATTTGGCATGACAGTTAAACCTGCTAGTTTTTTTTTCCCACTTAAATGTTAGATGAGTGATTGTTTAATTTGTAGGATACTTTTGCTACGAGAATACCACCCTATCCTCCCATTTACTCAAGGTGTAATGAGTAATAGGAGCCAGATAATTTAGATATGTGGTCCAGTAAATCCAGTGAGGCCTGGCCATGAGGAAGGGGATCTTTACCTCACATTAAATTCATAAAAGTGAGAAGTTGATATACTTGAGTCCTTAAAAGAGGTACTAAGGTGCAGGAAGCTAATGTGTAGTTCTGCCAATGTGCAGACATTTCTAAGAGAAGGAGTTAGGATCTTCAGGTTCTGAGTAGAGGAAGAGAAGATAGTTATATTAGGACTCTGTAGGAGGAGTTGGAACTAGGAGTTAATATACGTTCAGTTCTCAGTCTTTCTAGCTAGGACCTGTGTGTGCATTCTGACCTTGAGGATGCTGTGTGCTAGCAATCTTTAGCTTGTGATGAGTCAGCTGCAGTGTGACTTGAACTGCTTGATTGACTTAAGTTGCTTGATTGTGGGCTTGTGTATCTTGGGTAGGATCCACAGGGTCTGCTCCTTGGGATGAGAAAGATAATGATGTGGATGAAGAAGATGAGGAAGATGAGCTGGATCAGTCACAGCACCATGTGCCCATCCAGGACACCTTTCCCTTTCTGAACATCAATGGTAAGTGAGAGGTGGTAGGTAGGATAGAGGGATTCGGAGGATGTTAAGAGTTTTGGTCTCAGAATGCTGATCCATTGTCCACAACTGCCTTCAGAGCAGCGATTAGACCTTGGGTTTAGAGTGTTGAGCTGTTTGTTAGCAAGCAGGACTCACATGCAAGAGAACTTTGCTGGTTTATTGATTCCAGTAAAGTGTGATGAGTTTTAGGCTTCTAGAGACTATCTAATTCAAAGAAAGGAAAAATAAAAAATTCATTCTCAGTCTTACATATGAACATATTAGTGGTTATAAATGTTGCCAAGTTTCTTTCAGAGCAAGCACAGATGTCATTTTTATGTTGTAGGTAGACTTTCCAGTATTTCTGTTGGAATAAATTCTGTATTACTTTTTTTCTTTTTTTGGCGGCAGTCCTGGGGCTTGAACTTGGCCTGGGCACTGTCCCTGATCATTTTTTGCTCAAGGCTACTGCTCTACTATTTGAGCCACAGTTCCACTTTCAGCTTTTTAATGATAAATTGGAGATAAGAGTCTCAGAGATTTCTCTGCTGGCCTGGCTTTGAACCTCCTCAGATCTCAGCCTCCTGAGTAGCTAGGATTCTAGGCGTGAGCCGCCAGTGCCTGGCTGTATTACTTTCTTAATGGGAACCATTCCACTTAAGCTATATTATGGAAAACTTGGGTTTCTCTAGCTGTTGATTCTAGGTTGTGCTAGGACTTACTGCCAGAACTTTCCTTTTATGGACTTGTAAATTCACCAAGTAAAATGGCTTGAGGGATTAGGAGTTACTGTGTGACTGTAGGCACGGAGTCTTGTAGTGCACTTTCTGAGGACACTAAACACAAGTGTAGCACTGTTCTTCTACTGCATCTTTACTTCATTTCTTCACTGAAGTGCTCCTTGCCAAATAATTTGCATATAGTTCTGTAGATTTTTGAGATATTTTTAGTACCATCTAGATTCTATGGGTCAAGTGCAAAAAACATTTTCTACCTCAAAAACTTAGTATTATTGAGATACTCTCTTTAGAACCTTGGGGTAACCTACTTACAGAAGGTGAAATAAGGGCACTTATTGTCTATCCACTTAGTCTTCCACTTAGACCTTTGCAACCAAGTGCTAAATAAAGGAACATTTCATGTTTTTTTTCTAGGCAAGTACAGCTACATGCCACATTCCCACTTAGTGAAGTTTTAAGAATTGGACATATGGAAATCCTTTCCCCTGACTCATTCTGTTATTCTCACTTCTTAAAAGGTTACAACATTGGGCTGGGCTGTCAATTAAGTTATAGAGTGCCTGCCTACCAAGTGCAAGTCCCTGATTTCAACCCATAGTACCACCGCACTAAAAAGAAAAAATCAGAACCTTGATGTCCTGTTTTTGTTCATATTTTCTGAAAACTAATATTGTATGTTCTGATGTTTGGGGCTGCCTTGGATCATTATTAGGAAATTATATAATATTATATAGTATAAAATATAACTAGGTACCTAGATTTAGCCAAATTGATTACAGAGAATCAAAGAAATATTATTAACCTCTGTGATTTTAATGTGGTTGAGTCAGAGAAAGAAGTATCGTGGAAGAACAGACTAGAAGGAGAGATCTGTAAACTTTGGAATGAACAAACTCTGACATTAACAGGGAAGTAGGGTGTTCACTCTTTAAACAAAATCTTTAATTGGATACTTTGGAGTGAATAATACTTTCACATGATATAAAATTCATAATGGTACAATAAGGTAATAATTTGAAAGGTTTACTTTCAGACTTGTCCTTGGGCCTTTTAGTTCCCTTCCCTGGTGGGGAGAATCTTGTTGGTTCTTGAGTATCCTTCCAGGCATTTTATGCTTATAAAAGTGTATTTGTTTCTTTTAACAGCATTCCTAGACATTAATACTTACTTAAATCTAAATGATTAGTTCAGTTGAGTTCACCTGATGGAAGACAGCCAACGTCTGTTTAATTGGTGGGACCAAATTCTGCAGCAAAACATCTCATGTCCTTTCTAATTTAACTGCAGAGGAAATGGTCTATAGGTTAATGTTTAGCAGAAAGAAATAGTTCTTCAAAGTATGAGTTTATGGGAGAAATGATTAGAATTCAGACTCATATTTCTTATTATGACCTATAGGAATCATTGATGGGCCAGGAGATCAAATTAGGTCATGGATTAGTAGGGTTTGACCCTTGTCTGCAGATCCTTTTAGTTTCTAAGAGCCTTGAACCAGGTGCATGTGTGGTAGGCCTGCCTGCCCATCCATTTCCTTCTGTCATAGGTTCTCCCATGGCACCAGCCAGTGTGGGCAACTGCAGTGTGGGCAATTGCAGTGTGGGAAACTGTAGCCCTGAAGCAGTGTGGCCCAAAACGGAGCCTTTGGAGATGGAAGTACCCCAGGCACCTATTCAGCCCTTCCATAGCTCTCCAGAACTGTGGATCAGCTCTCTCCCAAGTAAGTGAGTCCTGATCTCTATTGATGAGTCTTCATCTCCTGTTGCAGTCCCTGTCTGTCATGCCTTCTGCCTCCATTGCCTGTCTTTCCTCTCTGGTGCTAGAATCAAACCCAAGGCCTCTTACTTATTAATTAGGTGCTATACCACTGAGGTATATCCTCAGACCCCCTCTGCTGCCTCTTTGTTATTCCACAGGTACTCTCTGTCTGCTTACTAGCTGTCCAATGAATCACCAGGGAAGTAAAGAAACTAATCTGTATCTACTTGTCCACGTGCTGGTGATTGGAGCTCCAGATTACTCACCGTTAGTCTAACTAGGGGATTGAGTGACATTGAGTGACAAGGCCATTGTGACATGGGGAGGTTCATGACCCTGGAATTGGTCAAGGAGTTTCTTGCATTTGAAGGGCTTTAGGAACTCTTTCTGAATTTGGTACAAGTTTTGTTTATTTTATACTAGTCTTGGGGCTTGAACAAACAGGGTCTGGGTGTTGTCCCTGAGCTTTTTTGCTCAAATCTAGCATTCTACCCCTTGAACCACAGCTCTACCTCTGGCTTTTCTGGTAGTCACTTGGAGGTAAGAGTCTTACAGACTTTTTCAGCCCTGCTGGCATCAAACCATGATCTTCAGATCTCAGCCTCCTGAGTAGCTAGGATTACAAGTGTGAGGTAGTGACATCCAGCAAAGAGTTTATCTTGAAGAATTGATGTCATTTCCCTGTTTTCCCTTTTCACATTATAAATGGCCAGAATATGAGTACAGGAGTCTTGTCCATGAGGCTTAGTGGCTTTGAAAGGCCTAATGGATTTAATGGAGACTTGTTGAGTGCATATTTATTTTGCTGCACTGTCCTTTTATGGCATTTTATTAGAACAGGCCCTCAGAGTGTGCTAAAGGGGTGATTTTCAGAAAGATGTCTTGGCATTTATTTTTCCCCCCTCTAGTTTCTTTTTAAGAAAGGAGCTAAAATGGAGATACACACTAGATCTTTAAGTTTTTAGTTTCCTCTAATGCCTATTTTTGAAGATGCAGTCAATACAATATGGTAAAGTACCAAAGTACTTTACCTGGTGAAATTCTAGCCCTTAGGGCATGGTGATTGAAGGGAGATAGTTATTGATCTTAAGTTCCTTGCTTCAAGGCAGGTTTTTTTTGGTAACTATTCAAGGGATTTGTCTCCTTTTGTTGCAGGAATCATTATGGCCATGTCTTTTTTTTTTTTTTTTTTTCTTTTTGGTGCTGCTCCTGAGGTTTGAACTGGGTGCTGTCCCAGAGACTTTCTGCTCAAAGCTAGAATTCTACTATACTTGAGCCACAGCTCCACTTTTGGCATTTTTGGTCATTAATTGGAGCTAAGAGTCTCATGGATTTTCCTGTCTGGGCTGCCTTTGAATCATGTTACTCTGATTTCGGCCTCCTGAGTAGCTAGGATTAAAGGCATGAGTCAATGGTACTTGGCTTGGCATGGCTCTTTTGAATGTTAGTTGAAACCTGGCCTGATCTTGATGGACTTGTGTGAGCCATTGGGATGGGAGGCAGACCCATGGAACCAGGATTCACTGTTGTCTCTCACCTTCCAGTGACTGACCTGGACATCAAGTTTCAGTATCGTGGGAAGGAATATGGGCAGACCATGACCGTAAGCAATCCCCAAGGCTGCCGGCTCTTCTATGGAGACCTGGGTCCTATGCCTGACCAGGAAGAGCTCTTTGGTCCTGTCAGCCTTGAGCAGGTCAAATTCCCAGGTCCAGAGCATATTACCAATGAAAAGCAGAAGCTGTTCACTAGCAAGCTACTGGATGTCATGGACAGAGGACTGATCCTGGAGGTCAGTGGGCATGCCATTTATGCCATCAGACTGTGCCAGTGCAAAGTATACTGGTCTGGGCCATGTGCCCCATCACTTGTTGCTCCCAACCTGATTGAGAGACAAAAGAAGGTCAAGCTATTTTGCCTGGAAACCTTTTTGAGTGGTGAGTCTTTTTTTTTTCTTTTTTTCAGAATATTGATGGTGGGCATTGTTCTCTGGAAGTTTATATCTTTCCCTTTCCATCTTTTCTTGGCCTAGCAAATATCTTAACCCAAAAGTTTCTTTGGGAGAAGGTCAAGGCCTAACAGAAGTTTGGTTATGAAAAATGCACATGACCTAGGTAATGAAGAAGGAAGTTCTGCTCTAAGGCTCTGTGCTTGACACCTAGCTTTTGTTTGATTATGGCTCCTTCAGTAGCAAAAGAGGGAGACAGTTTTGCCATTACCTTCCTATACCAGCTTAACTTTCTTGTGTATACGTATGTGTGCTGACACTGAGGTTTGAACTCAGGGCTTGATGCTTGCTGGGCTTGCTTGCTCAGCAGCAGCTCTACCATGCGAGCCATACCTCTAGCACAGCTTTTTGCTGGTTATTTTGGAGATGGAATCTCATGGAGCTTTTTCGCCTTTGAACCTCAGTCTTCCAGATCTCAGCCCTCTGAGTGTTAGGATTATAGGCATAAGCCATTTGCCCCAAACATCAACATAACTTTCATAGGTGATCTTGTTCATCATGCTCAGCAAAATTCATACTCCCCTCCCCCCAAAAAAAAATTTGAGTGATGAAGTAAAGTGGATAATGTTAGGAAGAACATTGAGATGTGCATTTCACAATGTGATTTGAATCCCAAGTCTAGATCAATTGTATCCAATAGAACCTTGGGAAATAATGGAAAAGTTGTCTGTTAGTGCTGTCCAATATGGTAACTCCTAGCCTCGCATGGTGATTGAATATGTAAATATGATCAAGGTAACGCAGGATCTATTTAATTTTAATTAATTTAAAATTAATAGTCACATGTGGCTAGTGCCTATTCTCTTCGGCAGCATGAAAGATGGTACTTCCTGAATGGATATGGATTGATCCAGTGTACCAAGCTTGTTATTTTACCCTCTGCAGAGCTCATTGCCCATCAGAAAGGACAGATAGAGAAGCAGCCACCATTTGAGATCTACTTATGCTTTGGGGAAGAATGGCCAGATGGAAAACCTCTGGAAAGGAAACTCATCTTGGTTCAGGTGAGGAGTTAAGGGTATATCAATTTCTTTTGCTAATGCTTCAGCCCCTACATTTGGGTTCTGATTGAGCATTTATTCACTTGTGTGTATTCTCATCCCATCAGATGAGGTATCAGACAAGGCCTGATACAGAGGATCAAACTGGAGAATGTAAGATACTTAAAATCGGTACCTGCTTTATTAGAGACCTTATCTTCCATTCTCTTACCAATATTGAAGTTTTGCTAAAACCTAAGCAAAGCTAAAGCTACCCAGGAAGCTAAGATCTGAGGATTGAGGGTCAAAGCCAGCCTGGGCAAGAAAGTCTTTGAGGCTCTTATCTCCAGTAAAACAGCTGAAAATGAAGCTGTGGCTCAATGGTAGAGTGCTGGCCTTGAGCAAAAAGGCTAAGGGACAGCTCCCATGTGCAGAGTTCAAGCCCTAGCACCAGTGTGCATGTGCATGCACATGCAGACACACCACAAAGAATATAACCTTATTGTTGCATTCTTTACTTTGTTGCTGGTATGTGTGTGTGTGTGCGTGCGTGCGTGCGTGCGTGCGTGCGTAAGTGCGTGTGTGTGTGTGCGCGCGCGCACACCCGCGCGCCTCGTCTTGGAGCTTGAATGTAGGGCTTTGGCACTGTCCCTGTAGTTTTGTATTTAAGGCTAGAACTCTACCACTAAAGGCATAGGTCTGCTTCTGGCTTTTTTTTTTTTAAATAGTTAACTGGAGATAAGAGTCTCCTGGACTTTCCTGCCAGGGTGGCTTCAAATCCTAATCCTCAGATCTCAGCATCCTGAGTAGTTAGAATTACAGGTGTGAGCCACCAGTGCCTGGCTGTTGTTATATTCTTTTATCTTATTGTAGAAAAGTTTTTTTTTTTTTTTTTTGCGGTTGCTTCAGAGTTGCGCAATGAGGGAGGCAATAGATGACATTTGGTTTAATTGCTAGGTAAGCAGTCATTTATGTAGGCAAATGGTATGAAAGTACGTCTAGATTTTCCTCTTGTACCAAGTGCTAAAATGAGCCTTGGCAGGATGGTTTGGAGAGATCAAGGTATGTACTGCATCTAGATATTAGAGTGGTTGACTTCCCCAGGAAGTCTCCCTGCTTTGGGGTCTCTCCTGCTTTGCAAAAAACCCCACAAAACAAAAACAATAAATAACAAAAAAAAACATCTTTTCTGCTGGAAGGTATGGTTCAAGAGGCACAATTCCAGCTGACCAAATAAGCTCAAGGCTCTGGGTTCAAACTTCAGTCTGCCAAACATCAAACCAACCAACCAACCAAAACCTCCCAAAAAACTTTTCCTCACTGGATATTTGTGTGCTCTGTGCCTGAACAGGTCATTCCAGTGGTGGCTCGGATGATCTATGAGATGTTTTCTGGTGATTTCACACGGTCCTTTGACAGTGGCAGTGTTCGCCTGCAGATCTCGACTCCAGATATCAAAGATAACATCGTCACTCAACTCAAGCAGCTGTACCGCATCCTCCAAACCCAGGAGAGCTGGCAGCCCATGCAGCCCGCTCCTAGCATGCAGCTGCCCCCTGCCCTACCTGCTCAGTAATCACGAATGCCATCTTCCTCTTTCCTCCTTTACTCCTTCTTTTTCTTTTTCTTCTTTTTTTTTTTTACAATATTGTACATATTGATATTTTTTATTTTTCAGATTTAACCAGCTTTTAACTCTTTCCTCTTATGTTGTTAGAAGTTTGTGACTATCCAAATGTGCCTAGCTTTTTCAAAGTTGATTTAATTTATGGAAAATCACCTGTCAGAATTTTTTTTTCCTTTTATACCTTTTAATGGTAGTATGATGCAGTAGCAGAGATTTGATCTGGGAGTTTGGACATCAGGGTTCTAGCTGCAGCTTTGCTTCTCGTGTGACCTTGTGTACAAGTCATTTAATTTGTGGGCCTCAAATTTATCAATTGTAAATAAAGGATAGAATCATGCCCACAGTTGCATCCAGCTTTTAAACTCTGGCTAGAATACTTCATTATATTTGTACAGGCAAAACTGCCCAGAACAAGATCTTTCTGAATTGTTCTTATACCACATTTTTTTTCTTGCTTTCTTCAAAGTTCCCTCAAGCACTGATTTGTCCAAGATTGAGCTCTGTTTGACCTGTTCTGCTAGTATAGTACACTGGCTCCATGACGGGACAAGTAAGAGGGAGAGGAGCTGACTGGTTGCTTAGGAACCAAGCTTTATATCTAAATAGAAATGGGAGCCAAAGTCTGAAAGTCATCTGACCTGAGAAATAAAAACTCATAAATCAAGCCTTTAAAGGGAAGCTGGTGACATAAAAAGCTTAAGAGATTCTTTGAAAGAATGGATTGTTAGGTATATACCTTGTCATTGTTCACCTTGTGTATGACAGATGAACCCATGACTCAGTGGGATACAGGATCTCTTTTTCTTGTTTCCTTTTCTGAGGGTCACTTAGGAGGGAGCTGGGCATCTAGAATATTCTGAATACACAAACCAAAAAGGACAGTTCTTGTTTGTAGAGTTTTTTGGAGGGGTTGGGTAGGATGGGGGCTGTTGACCTAGGGTCTTGCTCTGTAACTCAGGCTCCCCACAAACCTGAGATCCCCCCCCCAGTGCTTAGCTGCTTGGAGGGTTTTTTGTTGTTGTTTTTTGTTTTTTGCTGGTCCTACAGCTTGAACTCAGGCCCTGGGCTCTGTCCCTGAGCTTCTGTGTGCTTAAGGCTAGAGTTATATCACTTGAATCACAGCACCACTTCCAGGTTTTTTTTTTTTTTTTCAGTTTATGTGGTATTAAGGATTGAACCCAGGGCTTCATGAATGGTAGGCAGGCACTCAACCACTAAGCCATATTCCTATCCCTGCTTGGAGTCTTCCTCTCACTTGCATCTTTGTAGTAGAGGTAAAAAAGTATTGGGTGTGATAAGTAAAAGTAGAATGAAGAAGGGTTGGGCAGTGCTCTTCTGGAAAAGGCTCATTTGGCACAAACCTGCCCATCTCCTTTGCTAGAGGAGTTATTTGGGTGTGAACTATGTAGGTAAAAGTGGGGTAGAACACTGACACTAAAACTGCCACAAACCAGTCTTACATCTAGTTATGAGTGCTCCGCCCTTGGTCTTTCTCTTTCTCTTTAAAATGAAATTATACATAATTTAAGCTCCCAGACCTAAGTGGAAAATTAAACCTCTGGCTGTAGCCCCAATTCTCTTGAACACAGATGTGTGTTTGTGACAAGTCATAGTAAGGAAAACCATGTTTTACAGAAACCAACTCCTGCTTTTCAAATAATTGCCAGTTGAGCTAGGTTTACTTAAAAACCTAAAAGATCAGCTTAATCAAAGGGGACAGTGAGACTTATTTTAAACTTTGATTTAAGGGTCTTTATGAGATCTAGTAGAACCTGCTCTTTTTTTTTTTTTTTTTTTTTGGGTCTGGTCGTGGGGCCTGAACTCTGGGCTTAGGCGCTGTCCTTCAGCTCTTCAGCTCAAGGCTAGTGCTCTACCACTTGAGCCACAGCGCCACTTCTGGCTTTTTTCTTTTTGCTTATGTGGTGCTGAGGAATCAAACCCAGGGCCTCCTGCATGCAAGGCAAGCTCTCTACCGCTGAACCACCTTCCCAGCCCCTAGAACCTGTTCTTCAACTTTGGGTTCAAAAGTCAAGTGTTTGGCCTTAAGAAAAATTGGGATTTTAGAGACCAAGAATTATCATACAAGGCAGAGAAATTTCAGTTTTCATTTGTTTTGTTTTTTTTTTTTTTGAGTGAAGAGAGGAATTGGCTCTTGATATTTGGTTTTTCCAGCTGTGCATGCAGTGAAAGTGAGAGAGGACAACTGTTGTTTATAGCTGATTCCATTCCTTCTGTGAAATAACAGGGCTGTCCATCTAAGTGGGCAAGGGCAGTTAGATATTACAAGCAATGGTAAAGTACGTTGAAAAGTGTTCTAAAGTGCTAAGAAGGATCAGGCTTTTAGTATTGGAATTTAAAATTTACAAATGTGCCAGATGAATTTTTTTTTTGAGTCCGGTCGTGGAGCCTGAACTCTGGGCCTAGGTGCTGTCCCTCAGCTCTTCAACTCAAGGCTAGACGCCACTTCTGGCTTTTTTCTTTTTGCTTATGTGGTGCTGAGGAATTGAACCCAGGGCCTCATGCATGCAAGGCAAGCACTCTACCACTGAGCCACTTTTTTTTTTTTTTTGTGCCAGTCCTGGGGCTTAAACTCAGGGCCTGGGCATTGTCCTTGAACTTTTTTTTTTTTTTTACTAGCTCCCTTATCAGTTGAGCTACAACTCTACCTGTAGCTTTTTGGTGGTTAACTAGAGGTAAGTCTCATGGACTTTCCTGCTTGGGCTAGCTTGGAACTGGGATCCTCAGATCTCAGCCTCCTGAGTAGCTAGGACTGTAAGTGTACTGGACCCTGCCTAGTTTTATGTGCTTTTAACTAGGTAGCCCACTACTCTTATTTTAAATCTTTTTCAGAATGCTATCAAAGTACATTCGAGAATTTCCTGATGACCTCTAGCACTTTCTCTGGTTTTGATAATCACAAATCCTCCATTCTTGGGCACTAAGTCTTCTGTCTCCTTTGGGTGGCTATACCACCCACTCACTAGGTGTCTTCTACTCCCTTAAGACTGGAGAGTTCGATTATCACTAGCACTGGCTTTTCTTCACTGCACAACCCATCATGCTAGATTAATTCAAAGTTAAAAAGAAACCAGTATAGGTAAGGTGGGAGACAATGTTGTATCTGGGTGGGGTCCCTTCTTCATATAATTAATTCCCTGATATATGTTCCCATAGCACCCCAAACTTTCTCTGTCAGAACTATCATGTTTTTTTGTAACTATATTAGCATCTGTATCTTGCTGGATTACAAACTTGCTGAAGGTAACAGTTGTTTTAGAATTTGCTGCCTTGTCCTTAAAATAGTGTTTTATAACCACATACTTCCGAATATTTGTTGCTGTAATAAATGAACAAAGTAAGTCGTCCCTACTGAGGATTTGTTAATTTCCAAGGGGAAGCAAAACAACCAAGGGAAGGAAACATTCTAAAATTAAGTACCCACTTTTCTCTTTAGTAGGCCATTTCCCCACCAACTCGATTTTCTCAAACTCTTTCTCTTCATAGTATGGGTTCAAAGTTCTGGTAGATAAAAATATGTTAAACTCTAAGTCAAATAAAACGTTTCCTTTGTAATGATCTAGTCTAAAACCCTGACAATCATTTATCATTGGAAATCTGCAAATGACTCCCTAACCTTGAAGGTAGGATTACTGACGGTTTTGTACAATAATATACTTCCAGAGCCTAGAAGTATACCCAGCCTATGTTAACACCTTCCCAACTTGCCTGGACATTGTCCCGCCTGGAACTCAACCTTAAGGATGTAAGCACATGAAAGTGTTTATTTGTTTAAAGCAAGCTTTACAGCACCACCCACAGGTGAGGATTTCCTGCAACCTGTCAGCTGTCTTGAAGGAAAAGACCATTTCCCCAGATAGAAGCCAAAGCATTCCAGTCCCTCCGGGCCTTGCATTCTTTCTCGGTTCTCCCCGTGGAATGCTTCGTAGCACTCTACCACTTGAGCTTCACTTCCCGTTCTGGCTTTTCGCTGGTTAGTGGGCGATGCGAGTCTTTCGGATTTATCCCGCCAGGCTGGTTTTTGAACCAAGAGCCTCAGATCTCGGCCTCCTGGGTATGTTGGATTACAGGCGTGAGCCACCGGCCCTCCAGCTTAAAAATGTCCTTGTTAAATGTTTCCAGCCTCCCCCGAGTCAAGTGGCCACCGGACTCAGGGCGGCAGGTGGCAACTAGTTTCCGTCTGGGCTCTTCCTCCTTCCTCCGCTTCCGCTCCGTCCCTCCCCTGGGCAGACCGGCGGGACCGAGGTCTGTGCCACAGGAAGAGGCGGGACGCAGAGGGTGCGCACTTCCGGCCCGCCGTGAGGCAGTCTTGCCAGTTCTAGGGCGGAAGTGCGGGCGCGATGACGTCATGGGAGAGGCCCGGCCGGCGGAAGCGAGTTGGGTGTTCATTTGCCTCAGGCTTTCTGAACCAACGAGGAGCTGAGCTGGTGGTTCCGGAACTGAGATGGTTGTCTCGGAACCCAGCTGGCTGCTTGGGACCTCGTACCGGCTGGATTGCCAGTGTGGTGGTGGGGCGCGGGGCACTGGTTGCCTTTCCGGGCCGCAGGCGGGACACCGGAAGGAGTTACTGAGCCCGTGACCCTGCAGCGGAAGTACAGGCCGAACGTTTGTGAGGGAGACCTTGGCCTCCTTTACAAGTCTGTAATCAGACGTGCGGTATGTGTGTTGGGAGGGAGCTCTTCTTCCCAGCGGCCTGCAAGGTCTTTCCCCGCACGGGAAAGCGGGGTTGGCAGAGCTTAAGATAAAATCCTCCTGCGGTTGTGGCCGTTGTCACTCATTCTGTCTCAGGAAGAGATGACTATTGGTTCCATGCCAGTGAGGGTTTAATGAGGCTCCCGCTAGAGCGATTGGCGGGAGCAGAATGGGAAGCTGGCAGGGGAAAGAATACAGTTGGAACCTAGAGTCGAGCCCTAGAACTCCAGAGGCTGGGCTGCCTCCGTCTAAACTTCTGAAAGTTTAGTCAGAGAACATCTTTTGCTACAGACAAAATAGAAGCCAGAGAACAGAAATCTGGTTATTGGGCTAGAAAGGTGAATTTGGGATTAAGACTAAATCAGCCAGAGAAACCAGGTAGCATTTGTAACCCCACCTTCATTAATCTAGATGAACCTTCTAAATCAGAGGGAAGAAGAAAATAATTGCAAAAAAAAAAAAAAGCTGATGGTATGTTAGTAATTTTCCCTGTTACACTTTGTTTCTAGGCTCTTCCTCAAGGGTCTGGACCCGGGGGAAAAAACTCTGTAGCTAAGGAGGCTATCCTGGATGTTGCTTCCAAACACTATGTCACCACTGAGCCCTCAGCTGCTGGTGGCAGCTGCTCAGCAGACCTTAGGCATGGGAAAGAGAAAGGGTCTACCTCGAGCTACCTGCCTCCACCTTGCTGGAGAGGTACTGGCTGTGGTCCAGGGGTCGAAGCCAGCTATACTGTATGATGGCCACTCTGCAGGAGTATTGGTGCTTCAGAGCTATTTGGAGAAGTTGCAGGAAATGGGTTTCCTGGCCTCTGGACTTCACTTTCTTGACATTGGAGAGAACAGCCTAATTGTTGATCCTAAGCAAGCATATCAGCATTTGGAACAGGTGCTCCGTGGAACCATAGCCTTTGTGGATGTTTCCAGTTCTCAGCCTCACCCTTCTATCTGTTCCTTGGACCAGCTTCAGAATGTGAAGGCTCTTGTGACTGAGCTCATCTCACATCTGCAGAGGCTGCAGAGAACCCCATCCTTGGGAGCCTCCCACAGCAGGCTCCATTCCTCACAGTGGAATCTCTGTACTGTATTTGGCATCCTCTTGGGCTACCCTGTCTCTTACACTTTTCATATGAACCATGCTGATGACAACTGTTTAGCCCTGACCCCATTACGTGTATTCACTGCTCGGATGTCATGGCTTCAAGGTCAACCCTCAATCCTGCTCTATTCCTTTAGTGTCCCAGAGTGCTTGTTCCCAGCCTTGAGGGATATACTAAATGCCTGGGAGAAGGATCTCAGAACCCGATTTAGGACTCAGAATGACTTTGCCGATCTTAGAATCTCTTCTGAGATAATCACACTGCCAGCTGTGGCCCTGTGACTTTAATTCTCCTCCTATGTAGAAGGTATTTAGTAAACAATCACTTCTGACTTGTCAGTATCAGACAGGAATCCTAAAAAGTGCTAGTTTTAAGTGTTTTGAGAACAGAAGAATGCTAGGATGAATTGGTCACGTACAGGAATGGGTGGTGGTGGTGATGGTAGTATTGGTAGTACATGTTTGTGATTACTAGGGTGTCTTAGCAGTGTCTATTTACTTTTCATTGGATAAGAGGTAGAAAGAAAGAACTCATGGGGAAGGAAGGGTTGTGGATGACCTACTCTTGTATAGTAGTCTGTCATATGTGGATAGTGTCTTAGAATAGAGAAGGATTATGGGTGTTTCTGTCTATGTATTTCCAACTGAATCGAATTAAGGAGAGTAGACCTGGATACCTGTCATCTTTGTAATACATTGTTCAGGAATAAACCAAAAGTTCCAAGACAATTTGGTAAGGTGACATTTATTTATGTAGATTAAAAAAATAGCTGAGTGTCTCCTGTAAGGCTAGCTACTCAGGATGCTAAGAACTGAGGATTGTAGTTAAGAGTCAGCCTGGGCAGGCAAATCTGTAAGATTCTTATCTCCAATTAACCACCAAAAAGCCAGAAGTGGAGCTGTGGCTCAAGAGGTAGAGCACTAGCTCTGAGCAAAAAAGCTCATAGACAGTGCCTAAGTCCTGAGTTCAAGTCTCAGGACTGGCACAAATTTTTTAAAAAGTCAGAAATACCACTTCATTTGGAGAGAAAACCCAAGCTGTGAAGTTATCCTTCTGAGTTTCTTCCTTCAGATTTTTACCTCAAGCAGTAGTTGCAAGCTATTCAGATAATCAGATTGTTTTTGTTGGCCAGGAATACTGCTAGCACTGTAGCAATCACCATTATCAACACTGGGAGCCATCGGTCACATTGCCTCTGGAGGGAGAAGACAGGAGAAGGCAGCTATGAGTTAGTTGGAGAAAATAGTGCAAAAGTAACCCTGTTGTAGCCCAGTTTAAAACAACAACAACAACAAACCCTTGGATTGGTGGAGGAAAAAAGCTTTTTACTTCAGTGCTTGTGCCACTTCCTCTTTGATTAAAAAAAATCACTTCATTAGTGATCCATGTCACATGGATTTATATATAGGGGCTAGACACTTGAATACTAATATGAATAATCAAGAGTGAAGATAACTCAGCAAAATTGTATTCTCTGCTCATGTGCCTCAGTATTTTTGCTCTTCACCCTCTGTCCTTGCCTTCATTGAAGCCTAAAAGAATACCTTTTTTTTTTTTACTTGAGTTACTATACATTCAATATCCCTTAATGGAATTGCTGGAGCAAAGAATACTTCAGATTTAGGATTTTTTCCCCCACATTTTGTAACCTTTAGGCTTTACCAGTTGGGCATACCTAATAAAAACTCCCAAATCCCAAATGCTACAACGTCCAAAATTTTGTTCCTTTGTTCATGAACTCATTTCTTCATTTATTTTCAGAATCAGGGTTTGGACCTAGGGCCGCAGGGATTGGCAAGGAAACGCCAACACAGTGTTTTACCACTTGAACCATGCGTGTCCCTCTCCCAGTCTGAAACTTTCTAAGCATCATGTCAGTGCATAAAAAGTTTTGGATTCATCACATTTTAGGGATGTTGGACTTGTAATAAGTTTATCCTTTCATGAAAATTGGGCTTGGGCGCATGAGCCAGTGTTTCTTTCCTGCTTGCTATCCAGGGCCAGGATTACCAGATGTTCTTGTGGGCTGATAACTTTTAAGATTTGGCTAAAAGAGGGTCCTGTTCCACCATTGTCTAGGGCCGTGCAGGATGGACCTTCTTACTCTGGGAGGCGGCTGCTGGCTGTGGTTCAGCTCCTCTCGACAGTGCTGCAGCTTACGCAGGCAGGAGATGTACTCATCACTGAGGTTGTCTAACTCTGAATGCAGTTCTCTGCACTAGGGAGAATATCAACAAGGTCATTACCATCAGTTCAGTCTCCGACAGACCCAGGAAGGAGAGACTGCCCTGAGTAAGGTACTCCTTTCACTTCTGAATGAACCAATACTTCTCAGCTTATCAGAGATTTCAGGCTGTCTTTCTGCTATCTCACTTATTTTTGGTATGGAATGTGTTCAGTTGAATGACTGATTATATTACATATATTACATTTTATACCTGTATATAGGTTCTTTCTGTGCAAGTGTTTTGTGGGTTTACCCTCCACCCCCCTCCCCTCAAAAAATGAAGTTTCTTATAGCATGGAAGACCTAGAAGTGATTTTAGTACAAATTTCTTTCCTTAGACCTAGTTGCTTATTAGTACTTCCAGGAATATGTATACAGTGTTTGTGAGTATGTACATAGGAAAGTTTTTGCTATTTAAAAGACTATTTTGCTATTTAAAAGACTATATAAAGCTTAGGACATTATATAAAGCTTACCCAAATTGGGACAGAGTTTGAGAAGTTAATGTGTTTATCAGAGATGTGCTTGAGTTTAAGTTGACTTTCTAAGGAAACTACAAGACCTTGAATAGGGGTTGATGTAAATATGGAAGTGAGAAAAATTGACAAGTTAATCAAAAGCCAAAAACATTTTTTAGGGAAAATAAATGTCATTGAATCACAATTTAAACTTTGAAGTCCCTGCCCTCTGGCTGGCTCCCATCAGTTTTCCCAGAGCTACTCACAGTCCTAGGACATGGTCTTACCTCCTTTTCCTGGGCCTGGAGCTGCAAATTCTTCTTTTGCAGCTGGTCTCTAAGATCACAGTCTTTCTCCTTCCCTGTGCCCTCAGGCTTCACTTCGTTGTGTGAGGGCTTTGAATTCCACTCTGGTAAGGCCTGATCTAAAAAAGCAGCCAGATTCTCAGTGATAGTAAGGCCCACACCTGTATGGAAGGGCCTCATTACCGAGTGCAGATTTCCAGAAGTCAGGATAGGGAGGAATTTGGGAGGGCCTGTCCTTGGCTAAACTGAGCAGAAAAAAATTCCCTGACTTGAAAAACCCCTATGGGACCTTCCCTGCTCACTTAAACAGATAACAGGAATTAAATCTTCTCAAGGGCAAGGTTGACATCTTATCTTTCTTCTTATATTCGGTGTTGCTGATGTTGGTGAATACTTACTGATTTTCTTTGGTTGTATGCCATACAGTCTCTAGTTTGTCAAGTAAATTTGCTACGTGTGTCTATACTACTCAGTTTTCCTTGTACCCTTATTTCAAATTTCTGAATGAAGATGGCATTCAAATCTTAGAATTGATTTGACATGGTTAAAGATAGTTTTAGTCTCTGCGAAAAGAACACTAGACAAGGTGTCAGAAGTTATGGATTATTGTTTGCTTTATCCTTATTGTTTTAACCCCACACATATGACCAGAAAATTTCATTTTATTATCCATCCTATGTGGGCATAGTAACTTATCCCCAGTGATGGTGAGGAGAAAACGTGTTATGGTAAGTGAGGAGCCCCTTCCAAATGGGTGTGGAATTCTTTTCACAAAGTGTGGGCAACAGACTTAACAGAGAGTTAAACTAAGATGACACTTGAATACCTCATAGTTTAGGGCTGGGAAATCGATTGTGATTTTTACAGTTGAGTGTGTAAAAATTGACATGAAACCCTGAGTTCAAAATTAATTTATTGAATTGCTTAACATAAACATAGTTTTTTTTTTTCAGAGAAAGTAGAAGGTACTTTTTCACAGTTTATGTATCTCAGAACGGAAGGGTAACTAGTTAAAGTGTTCTCAGGGCCAATGATCAGATCCTTCCTTAAGAGTCCTCTACATCCCTGTCATAACAAGACTCCAGACCTGGATGGGACTCCTAGATCCTAGGTAGTCAATCCCCCTGCCTCTGGGCAGGCCAAGGAAAGAGCTATTATCTTAGAATTCATGATAGTAAATTTGCTGACCTTTCTTTACTAGTTTCTCCTGTTCTTGAGGATGTAAGGATTGATTCTGAAGCAGACCTGTTGGAAAACATAGGAATTTGTCTGTGTGAACAGATTTATTTCCAAGAGTCTCATGTCAGATCTTTGCATAGAACTGTTATTTTTAAAGATGTTCCCACCTATTAACAATTGAGTTTTGTCTCTTAAATTTACTATGTTGATGGGCTGGGAAGGTGGCTCAGTGGTAGAGCACTTGCCTTGCATGCATGAGGCCCTGGGTTCGATTCCTCAGCACCACATAAGAAAAAAAAAAGGCCAGAAGTGGCACTGTGGCTCAAGTGGTAGAGCGCTAGCCTTGAGCTGAAGAGCTGAGGGACAGCGCCCAGGCCCAGAGTGCGGGCCCCAAGACTGAACCCAAAAACAAAACAAACAAACAAATTTACTATATTGAAGTCTTAACCCCTAACACCTCAGAATGTGATCTTCCTAGGAAATAAGAGTATGCCTTCATTAAATCAAGTCATGAGAGTGGGCTCAAATCCAGATAATGGGGGTCCTTATAGGAAGGGGAAATTTGAATACATATACTCTGGGAAAGATGATGTAAAGAGACATAGGGAGAAGATCGTCATCTGTCAGAGGCCTGGAATACATCCTTCCCTCAAAGCTTTCAGAGGACCAACCTTCCTGACACCTTGATTTGGACTTGAGATTCTCCTGCCTCAGCCTCCTGGTATCTGGGAGTAAAGGTATATACTATATCTGGCTATGAAAGGACCAGTACATCTTCAGTATAGATGGCTTAAAAATTACTTTTGTTCTGTGCTGGGCCTGAAGCTTGATCTCAGAGCCTGAGTACTGTCTCTGAGCTTTTTTTGCTCTAGACTAGTGCTCTACCACTTGAACCAGAGACATGCTTCTAGCTTTTTGGTAGTTAATTGGAGATAAGGATTGCATAGACTTTTCTGCTTGGGCTAACTTTTAAACCATGATCCTCAGATCTCAGCCTTTTGAGTAGCTAGGATTATCGATAGGAGTTGCCAACACCCAGCCCTAATGGCTCAAGTAGTATAGCACTAGCCTTGAACACAAAGAGGCTTAGTACCTAGGGCCCTGAGTTCAAGCCCCACAACCACTACCATCACCACCAACAACCATATATATATATATATATATATATATCATAATATATACAGAAAATGATTGAGTTTTAGAGAATGATAGAGAAATGGAATAATGGGATTTTTTTCTTCTTTTTGCTATCTTTTTGCTATGTATATACATAATATATACATATTATGTATATATATATATATCCCACACATATATGTATATAGATAGATAGATAGATAGATAGATAGATAGATAGATAGATAGAGTTGTTTGTTGTTGGTTGTGGGGCTTGAACTCAGGGCCTGGGTACTGTCCCTGAGCCTCTTTGTGCTCAAGACTGGTGCTCTACCACTTGAGTCACAGTATCACTTCTTGTTTTTGAGTGGTTAATTGGAAAGAAGAGTCTCATGGGGACTTTTCTGCCCAGCCTGGCTTTGGTCTTCAATCCTTAGACCTCAGCCTCCTGAGTAGTTATGATTACAGGTGAGAGCCACCGGTGCCCATCTTGCTAATATTTTTTTAAATGTGCAGTTCA